AGGGCTAGTCTGAGCAACAAGGGCTGGCGTTTGTTGGGCGATGTTTAGGTGTTGTTGTTGTTGTTGTTGTTGTTGTAGAAGTTTATTTAACGTCGCACCACAAACAGGCGATTTCGCCTCCTTTGATACAGGTGAAATGCTGATAATTCGAACCTCAAAATGCCAGCAAACTTCTAATTATCCGGACATTCTAATTATCCAAACATGAATCTACAACTCAATATGTATGTCAAAATGCTCCCATGGTCGCGCAGAGTTGCGCTACGTACCTTAGACACAAATTTTACGGACAATCAACTGACCGGCACAGCCTGCTCATGTAAACTGAACTGACCAGTACAGTGTACAGTGAACTTCGAATTACACTTTGCTAACTTCGAATTATCAGCACAAATCCCACACATTTCCTATGTTAGTGGAATCTGTAGGACTTCTAATTAACCGGACAAGTCCAGTTCGAGGTTCGAATTATCAGAAAAATTTATGTGGGAATCGTATTGATAGAAATCGGCCCTGGAAAAACTTCTACAGTCCATTTCAAAACTATAGACGCGTAGGGTTTTTGAAATATTTCAAATTTGGCTGGAGCTTTTTGAGAATAGTTTTCGGAATATTGCTCAGGACCGCTCCACAATTACTCTCATAATAGAGTCATATAGTTTCTAAACGATTGGATAACAGACGCCCAATTTGGAAAAAATTATGCACAAAGTGATCACAGATTTTATGTGGTATAGACGCTGGCATAACGGTTTTTGCCTAGGTACACGTCTATAGTTTTGAAATGGACTGTAATTAAGCGGTATGTTCGAATTAAACCATATTCGAATTATCAGGATTCCACATGTACATGTGGACGACGAGGTGCTAGGCTCCGGCGGATTATGCTCGCGAAATCATGGAATTATGCTTTCATGGATTCTCGCATTATGCTCGCAAAATCCTCATATTATGCTTCGGCATGCAGGGATACATATCCACTTTGTTGTACTTATGGAGCCTCAAAGTTCGGAAAATTGTGCCTTTTCGTACTTCCAGGTGGCCATGCGTACAACAAAATACATGAGTATCCCCATACCAAGGTACTAGGTGTCCATGCATGCTAGAGATCAACATGGAAAAGAGAAAACATTACTTCTTCAATTCATTAGTTGACTCCTTTTTTTTTGTAAAAAGATTTTTTCATTGCCGAATTAGTTTGAGTTACCTTTGAAAATTATCATCACGGTTCAACTGTCTTCGCCATCCTCATACTCGCCCAAGCGTTGTCAACCTCACCCTGCCATTAATCAGCTCATCTCTCCCGTAGCTCCATCTGTACTTCCATCATGACCGAACATCAACTATACCTCAGTTTGTTTACCGGTACTGGTAGCTATTAGGGCTACATTGTATATCCGTAGCCTGCGCAGTCATCAGTCACATTCAGTGGCTGCTCAAATCCAGAGCAGAGGTCATGACTTCGTAACATGCAGAACGTAGACCTACACGACTGCATGCAGCGTTTTGCGGGCTACCCGTCACTATGTCGTTCGCGCCGGGCCGCGGGACACCTGATAAAGGCGGACTCACACACTGGCATCTTCTGCTACATGTACTGTATCAATGTGAGAAAGAACTTTGAAGGAGACGAGTTCGAGCATACAATAGTGTATTGCCATGATTTCTACCCTGCTTTTCATTGAAAACACTATCTGCATGACATCCGAACCCTTTACCATGTTTACTGAGTTCCATGCAGACCACCAGCACTACTCATGTGCATTGAACACAATTGTGTAGCCTACATACTAGAACTGTAGTACAATCTGAAGTAGTTATGCTCCTTACCTACCTCCGAAAGGATGCCAAATTATGCTCCAAATTTTCAACCACCAAATAATTATGCCAATAATAATGCCGGCATAATCCGCACCGGCGCGGTGCCTACAAGTACAAGTAACCCGGCCATCCCCTCTGCTCTACTGACAGTCCAGCGTCTTATCGTCTACAATGCGCGCACGTGATCCGTCGATCTTTTTTACAGTTTCGAGTGCTGCTCACTCTCTCGACCTGGTACCGTACCGATCACGACGATCTCATGCATGCTGAGCTACAGCTGAACGACTTTTTTGCTACGTGAACACGTGCACACCAGAACTACGTAATTTTTGATGGAGAAGAAATGCGAAAAGTCAAGTCGTGTCGTATGTGATGCTCACTGCACTGCATGCTCTGAGGTATGTTGGGCCCAGGTTGGAGCCGACGACGTCTCCCTGTAGATGGCTTGTCAGAGTAAG